CGAGATACTATTTTATTTTCCCTTCTGGGGATATTTTTTTATTTTAAACCAGCAGTAGTTAATGGCAGAACATGTTACAAAGGAGGGAATAAAATATTATGTATTTCATTTATTTACCAGCAAAATAGACGCAAAATACAAATCGTACAGTGTTACTACCATTGTCATTTCTTAGCAGACCTGAGGAAAACCCACTATTACTCCGCAGACTAAATACGTCCCGTTTGGATCTGTTTGGAAATCCAAAAGCCTCTGGCGGACGAGGTAGCGTTCTTTCTTGCACAGAATTGGGCAAAAATACTTCCGCAATTAAAACCGACAGCACCGAGAACTAAGGAAGCGTATTAGCGCCATGGAGAAAATAAATATTGAGGTGAAACATTGAGTTTAAAGCTCATTTTGTATTCTGAACTTTTAAAACTAGATGTTTCAGTAAATATTTTTTTTTTATCGAAACAGTTTCTAGCTACTGCCAGTGTATCCAACGGAGTGCTTATATGAAGGTTTTTCCAGCTCTCAGAAAAATCAATACCTTAGGTACCAGCAATAAATCAATATAAGTCTGCAGCAGTTGTCTTCAATAAATGTTGCCTTATCCCTTTGTGACAAAACTGACATTCACTACAAGGGTACATCTATCTTAGAAACATTCTATTGTTTGTTGGCTATTTTACAGACTCTCCCTAACTTCACGAAATTTAGTAAACTTTTTTGAAGTTTTTTGAAGAGTCTGTAAAATTTAATCCATTTGTTGAACAAGCACAGTATAATATTTTCTCCAATCTTTGGTAGTTTTCTAGTGTACACCCAGACGTCTCTTTAAGCATTTATTATTTATTTATAATCATCATCGGTGATCAGTCCATCCATTTTCTAATCGTTTCTTCCTAGTGAAGGTTGCAAGGGAGTTGGAACCTATCCCGGAAAGTAACGGGTGCAAGGCAGAGTACACCCTGGATGGGATGCCAGTCATTCACAGAGCAGACAGACACAAACACAGACACTCGCACCAGGGCCAGTTTTCCCAGAATCTTATTGACCTACCAATTTGTTTTTGGACTGGAAGACTCTCATCCGGCACAACACAGAGTGGGGAGCGAAGGAGCTGGAGGAGAGGATACTTACGTACCTCAGAAGGAGGATGAAGCATGAAGTTTGCCAAATGGGGTTTCTCCACAGTGAGGGAGCACTGGAAAGGACTTTGGGCCCTGTACAGGGACTAATGGACAAAAGCAAGTGGTAGGGCTTGGAAAGACTTTAATTGCGCAAATCCGGCCCTGTCGTCCACTTGCATGGATTAATAATGGACAATCACCCCTGTTCGGAAAGTTTTATTGCATGTGAGGCTCATACCTGGCTAGAATGTTTGCTAATTTTGTGAGAATGTTTTATTGTGAGATGTTGTTTTTTGGAAATAAAGTACATTTTGTCCAAAAATGTTTTTGGACTGTGGGTAGAACCGGGAGCAATCACAAATATTATTAATGGATTTCATTATTTACCCATAGTCAAACTTTGTGCTTTGGAACATATTTTAGGTTTTGGCCATTTTACAATAGTAAAACTGAATTTATTTGTGGGGTTATTGTAGTGCAAGTTCTGAAATACAAATTAATGTGTTTTTTTAGTGGTAAACTGTAAGTGGAAATCAGATTTTTGCTTTTCACCTCCTCCAATACCTAATCTATTTTACAGCCTTAATCATAACCTACAGTAAAACAATTCTTAACCCTTAAGCTAACCCTGGCTCCAATGTCAATTCTAATCTTAGCTCTAACTGCAATTTTAAATCTACCTTTTTTCCAATCTTAAACTCTAGACCTAGGCCCTTTCAAAACTTTATCCCTGGCCATGAGTATAACCCTTAATACTGAAAAGTGCATTCCTACAGTACCTACAGTAAATACCTACAGTATTTAAAGTAGCATGAAATTAAAATTACACATTTTATATTTTTATATCGTAAAGCAGTGTTTAAGTCATTTATGTCTAAAGATAGATATGTTTGTAAACAAGAAAATGCTCGTCAACAAAAATATGCTTAAACTCAAGAAATCAAGTACTGTGCTATGCTCAAATACATTATTTCTTATCAATGTTCTTTTGCTCCATCACAGCTTTTTTACTGGATTTTTAAAAAATCTTTCAAAGGTATCAAGCTTTCAAGTATCAGGAGAAGGCAAAAATCATTATTAATAAACGCAGGAGTCTTAATTGCGTATGCATGTATTCAGCATGGCTTGGTTTGACATACTGTATACTGTATACTCCTCATTAACTTTTGCTGAAATCACAGTTCTGTCATGATCTTTTAATTCTGTCCCCTGTTGAGTAAGCAGATGTATTTAAGGAGGTGTGTTTTGTACACCTCACTCACTGTTAACAAGCCTTGATCAGATAAATGTCAAATTGGTGTAATGTAATTGGGATCTCATGTTGTGAGCGAACCTCACCCTCGAAGCAGTCAATTCTGTTTAAGGAGCAGTGTGTTCTCTGAGACATGAACTTATTGAGGAGGGCAACTAAAACTACTGATGAAAATTTCCCTAAGTACATGACAGCTGATGAAAAACCAAATTATAATTAAATATTATTCTAATTCAATAAATGGAGCTTGAATCTTCTGAAAGAACTCTTTAAATTACTGTCCCTACTGAGAATGTATTTCATTGACTTTAGCAGTACTGAGATTTTAAATCAAAATCTGTTCTTTTAACTTAAACCGATGTATTAAACATCTGTCTGTTTTTCTCATACTTTAAGATCACTAGATATCTTTTAGGATTTTTGTGATGTAATCAAACAGAACCCACATTTTCAAATCTGTAAGGGACTGTGTTGATGTGCAAGACATTCAAAACGAGATACAAAGCAATGCAAACAAGAATGTGTCACGAATGTGGAGGTAGTCAGCTTGTGTTATTACTTCAGCTTATGCTTTAAAATTCATACTAATGCAGAAATTGTAATGAGCGGTAATGAATTTACAAACATTACACAGTACAGGGAGTTCTGCTAATTTAATGCAGTGTTCTGTGCTTCTTCTGAATTGACTTTTTTAAAGATCTGAAGAAGAATATAAGAGCAACTAGTGTCCTGACACATTAAAATGAATGATTATAATATTAATTCATGTACTAAATTATGATACTTTCAGAAATTCATGTTGCATCATAGACAGTAAGTGCACTATCCTTCCCTCTGCTCAACAGCACTGGCCTCTGATAAATTTCACTTTAAAAAATCAAACATGACTTTCACCAAATGTTTATGGTAATATAGAGTGAATTTCAAAATAATTGCAATAGAGCCACAATAATAAATCAAATGCTAATAGACTCTGATCCTTAAATTAATTAGATCCTATTTACCAAACAGGTTAGATGGGTGGAACTGGAGCATCTCATTAGTAGCTTTTCTTATGTTCTTATGCTCTATACGTACATACATCCTTTGCTAAAGTGTAACAAAAAAGTCCTTTTAGCATGGTAACAAAAGCAAACCCAAATTATGGCCCATCTACTTCTTTCACAGTAAATGGTCAATGCCAATTTAGACATTGTACAAAGCAAATGCTTTCTGCATACATTTGATTTTATTCCAGAAATATTCTAAGAATCCATAGGGTTATTTGTCAAAATGATTATGTTAAAAAAAACTAAAAACAGCTATCTTTATGTCTTAAGCTGTTCAGAAACTGATTGGTTTGACATCCCTGAAGTATATAGAGCGTAATGTGAATTTGATACTATAGCAGATCTAGCTGTGAAAGGACGCCAATGTAAATGAAAATAAAAGTAAAGCACATCACTTTGGAAAATATTTATTTTTGTATTACTAAAATACTTGTGTATTGTTTTATTGAAAGAAAAAAACAAAAACTGGGCCATAAATCCATTAGGTGAGCTCCACATAAATACAAAAATGTATACAATTCTTTAACAATCATTAGAAATAATGGAAGAATATGGTTATTGATCCCTCAGAAATTGTGTTTTACTTCTTTATTTTATGTCCTACTTCTTTTAAATTATCCATACTGCTTTCAGTAGTTTTTTCTTAAAAGTTAATTAATAACTAAAAGTAAGTTTTTCAGATCTTTGTAAGCACTAAAATGAGAAGAGATGTATATTTTCCAATGTTCCATTTACAGTAATTTCTCTATTGCCTTTGAGAAAAGGGGTTAATGTTAGTAATTCTATGATACTTTTAACAATCCAATTAATTAATGGAAAACAAATGAATACCAAAGTTAAAAAAGCAAGTGCAATTTCATTTTTTCTCCCATACAGTGAATTGTGTCATTCCCATAATACAACTTCAGTGCACAGTACAAATCTTTTACTTTTGAAGACAATAAAAAGCACATTTTTGTTACATAATAAAACGATCACTTTTATTTCTTAAAAAAGTCACAGTTTTGTCATTGGTATGTGGAGGTTATTCCAAGGCCCCATCCAGAGCTCCTCTTCATCGGACTGAGTCTGATCACTCTGAGATTCTAAAGGCTCTTTAATGTCCTCGTTGTCAACAGTCGACTCTTGTTCATCCATGCTGCGTGGTCTGTCGTTCCGGGCTTTCCCTATAATAGACCTTGAGGCAATATTGTCTGGTCCCGTGGTGCTTGAAGCTAAAGAGCCGCCAGATGGTCTGCTGTTCAGATTGTCATCAGTGTTAGAGGTGATGGCCATGGGCAGTGGACTGTTGAGGGGCAGTTTCTCTTCGTGAGTTACCGCAAGCTTGTCAAGCTTTTTAAACTGTTTCCCCAACCTGGCTGGGGAGTTCAATTTGAAGTTGTTCGAGTGGCCTGTTCTTCTCGTCCTGATAATTGAACCATTTTGAGCGAGATAGATATTCCCATTGATGTTGCTATGACTGTTTATGTTGGACAGACGGTTTCTCTGGGACTCGGGTGCACTGTCCTCCCCTGTTGAACTTGTTTCATATTCCCGGTCAATAACTAGCTTGATCCTTTTCTTTCTCCCATACTATAAATAAAACAACAAAGGACAGTTAGTGCACAGGTACAGTAATATGCAAGACATTTTCTAATCACCGCATAAAAACCACACGCATGGAAATACTGAAACATTGCAGTTTATAGTTTAACATTATTTTTATTGTGCAAACTATAAACTTTCTAACAACAAAAACTATAACAAAGCACATAGTTAAACAGGAACGACCAAAAAAAATGTTAAATAGGAAATATTCAGTAAGGCACATTACATAAGCCAAAGTAGCGTGGCTATTACTGAATAATTCACCAGCCCTAGAGTGTATCAGCTCATAGATTTAGTATGGCTCAGGATGTTGATCAAAATAAAGAAAAGCAAGTATTTCAACTCTTAATGAAACTTCAGATAATACATTAGACGAGAAGACTTGAAAAAGTTATTCATGAAAAGGTCTTAGGTGATTATGTTGACATAATGTATGTTTTGAGCCAATGTGGGAAACAAATATGCAGTTTAAAGTGTAAATCACACATTAAGGAATATTAAAATTGTATAATGCAGTAGAAAGACCTCATTTAGAATGTGGTGTACAGTTTTCATCCTTGTCTTATAAAAAGGTTACAATGGAATCAGTCCAGGGTAGAATAACCAGTTTAAAAGAATTGCATACGCTGTCAGTCTTAAAGAATTACAGTACATCTTTTAAGTCTTGAACAGAGAACACTATGACAGGACTCGATTCTGTAAATCAAACATGAACCAGAGGACACAAGTTGAAAGTATGCGGAAGTGCATTTAAAATTGCAGGGGACACTTCTTTATACAATGGGTTGTGGGAAAATGGAAGTTACACAGCCATATTATTGAATCTTATATCCTGTCATCTTTCAAGAAACAGCTGGCTAAAGTCTTTGGTTTGGATCAACTAGCTACCAAACAGGCAAGATGGTCAGAAATGCATCCTCTCATTATGTTCTCATGACTTAAATCTCAAAGTAAGCAAGACAACCATGGTTTCCTACCTCTCATGACATTTCAAGAGAGAACCTTAAATCATGAATAAGGAAAAGGAAGTAGAGAGAACATTTCCACACAGATAATAGAGCAAACAAATCACTCAACTCAGGTGGGTCACAAAATACCAGCTTACATAGTGGTTCCTGTTTTTTTTAAAATGACGTTGAGTCACCCTCAGCCTCTGAATCTAATGATCCATCATTCGATCCATCCTCATCCTCTTCTGTGTCCTGGGGTGTCCCTCGGACAGACTGTTGAGTGCTGTCATCTGATACTGTTCTGGATGCTGATTTTCTACTGCTTTGACCACTCATGCTTACATCAGACTGTGATTGCTGTGTTGATTTAGAAGCATTAGAACTTGTGGTGCTCACCAAAGATTTAATTGTACTACTCTTGCCGCTAGCAGCTGATGTAAAACTGCTCCTTGAAGCTTTAGACTTGCTCTGACTGACGTGACTACTCACAGATGTCTTTTGAGACACTGTTCCTTCTTCATCACTCAGACTTCTGACTGCTTCTGACTGTCCATCTCCCTCATCTGCACTAAGAACCACACTGCTCTTTGTCTCTGTTTCCTCTGTAATTACACTCTGGTTGCTTATGCTTTTGCTTCCCTGAGTAGAGGCACTTCTCTCACTGACAGTGGATTTTCTTGACATTGTGCCTTCACTCATGTCTTCCGCTGAGTGCTTACTTTCAGTTTCTTCATCTTCCTGTTCTTCTTCTGAGGCAGATTCTTCTTCCTCGGTTTCTTCTTCTATAGTGGCCTCAGATCCTCTGGTTAGAGTAGACAATCTAGACCTGTAGCTACTACCTGCAGTTCTTGAGCTTCTGGAACTATGCTCACTGCCTGACAGGGTTTTCTGAGAACTTCTGCCCGTTGACTGTTTGCTACTTACACTTCCAAATGTTGACCTGCTTTCTTCTGACTCGCTAACTTCTGACTCACTTGTTGGTACATCAGAGGATGCCTGAGAGCTACTTCTGCTACGAGGTGAACTTTTGGACTTTTCTGTAGTTGATGAACCACTGCTTCTTATACTCCCTTGTCTACTTTCAATTGACTTTCTGCTGGTGCCAGTGAAGGAGGATCCAGCTGAGCTGCGGACAGAAGATATCCTGGATCCTGATTCCCGATCTTCAATGGATTCTTCAGAAACAGCACTTTTTATGTCTTCGCTGTCATCATCTTCTTCAGTCTCCTGCAACTCCTGCTCTGCCTCAGAACCGTCTTGTTCAGTGCCAGACTCAGACTTCGATTTGCTCTCCTCATCTGAGTCTTCAAGGTTCTCATCCTGTTCTTCATCAGAATCAACTGTGCTTTCATTGGTTTCATCTTGGTCCAATGTCACTTTAAGGTAATCTTTGTCTTCTGTTGACAGTGCCACACTACTCCTGACTGAAGATTCATCCCCAGATTCTTTTTTTTTGTGGCTGCTGCCCTCCTCCTCTGATCCACTCCCCTCTTGTTCACTTTCACCAGTGATGCTGATGGAAACTTTTGATTTCTTCTCCTCTATTTCAGAATCACTGGCTGCTTGTGACTGAGACTCTTCTTTCTCACTACCAGCGGCAGAACTTCTACTAACAGAACTCTGTGATTTCCTTCTCATTTGGAGCTTTTTTGAGATGTTGATGCGTTTCAGCACTTTCCCTAACCGTTTCTTTGCTGAGCTTGTGTCGTCTGCTGATTTCTGAAAATAATTTCCATTTATCACCTTGCTGCCGGACGACCCACTAGCAATGCTCTCTTCACTATTGACACGACGAGCAGAAACAAGCTTTGCATAATCTTTGCCATCTCTTTTAACTTTCTGGAGTATCATTGGAAATATTCTTGCTTTTTTCCATGGAGAATAACGGGAGGTAGAAGGATCTGGAGGTTGATCTGGAACTAATTTACTTCCTGCTGCTAATTTGCTAATATTCATAACTGACTTTAGTTTCTTCCCAGGGTCATCCTGAGCTCCACTTGCATCTGTACCACTATCTATAGTCTCTGCCACTTCTGCAGCAGCCTGATCAGCCTGGGGCTGGTCCCCAAAACCAACTCTCTGAGGTCTCTTAGGTGGAATTCTGCCTGGCCTTGCCCCCTGCAACAATGAAATTTTCCCAGGTTATCAGCATGAATATACAGTACACCCCCTAAATATGAACTGTCAGGGTGGAGGTATGTATTACCTTAACTATGCTTTACAATTCTTCCTGTCTTAAAAACACAAATCATAATAAAGATACAATAAAAAAGTATTAAATGCTGAATACATTTGTATCACACTGTATTTTTTGGAAATAAAGGACATCAGTCCATTAAATCTATTTAATTCCATCATGAGAAGCATCTCTAGGTTCATGTGGGTGAAACTGCCCTGTTTATGAAATTTCCTGTATGAAAGAATAAGATTATGAATAACAAAATACGAAATTATCTTAATCATATTGCCTAAGCAAGGAAGAAAACAAAGCATGAAAAAAAGATCTGGTAGATACTAATAAGTAAGAGATACTGTTTTTCTGAATGAAATGAAAAAAAAAAACTACTTTTACAGATGGAAATGTATTTTGTTATACTAATATAAAATCTTGTCAACCAACATCATTTTTGTAAGTATTGTTTTGTGATTTTTTAAAGTGTGTTTTAACAGCCAACTGAAGTTGCTAAATTTCAAAATTACTTCTGAAGTTCAAAGGATATTATATTTTTAATGCAGAAATAACAGACTGTACCATCTTCAGTTTTCTGCAGATTTTCTAACTTTTTAACAAGGTGTGTGCACCTACATACTGTATATACTGTATATATGCTGTACATTGTATATACACAAACATTTAAGAGAACAAAGAAAGATCTGCAATACCAACCAAGAGTCAGATCTCCTGCAAGAAAATCAAATCATTGTGGAGCAGTGGTTAAGGCTGGATTTTTCTGTAAGGTTGTGGATTAAAAGCCCTTCTAGGACTTGGTGGGGTGCTGTTATAGTATCCATTAGCAAAGCATTTCACCCAGATGTACCCAGAGCTTGCTTCCTCCCAGGCAAGACAGATAAAAATCTAAGTAAATGTAGATAAAGGTGTCTGCCAAATACAATAAATGAACAATAATTAATGCCACATAGACCCATTTATACAGGTGGTAATTAAAGAGTCTTTAAAAGTGTAACTATTGGGACCAATAGCTTTGGTTGTAATTTTAATATATCTCAGTACATACAGTATGTAAGCTAATTGAGAATAACAATTTAGAGATATACAAGCATATTTGATTTTGGGTTTTGATGTCTGTATCTGTATATGTCAAACACACAATGTATAATATAGTATATAACAAGTATCACAGTTCCTTTTAAAATAGAAGCTTTTTAAAGATCCCATTTCTTTTCAGGAAGTCTTGCACTATATTTTCTGATTTGTAATTCTTAGTGGGACATCTTTATATCACAGGGTATTTTTATTACAATGATGTTGTTCATCCACAAAAAGTACTTGGTTTTATAAAACATTTAAATTCACGCTCACATGCACATCCTTTAATTCATTTTTAATGTTACATTCTTGGTGAGACTTAGAAAAAGCACTTTCCTCACAATGTTATGTTACTGAGAGTGCTTTGAAAAAGTTAATTTAGTTCCACAGCAAAAGTGTAACTGACAAAAAGCAACATTTGTAAAACAAGATACAAATATTCTGATATCATCATCCATGTGAAAATGTAAGTTAAACCTACATTCTTTCTGTTGGGAATAGAGGTGCTAACAATCAATCCATTACAACATGTAAATAAAAGTCGAAAGTCTGAGAGCTTAAACTGAAAACTGTCACTCCATGGTAGGTTGTGTTCTTCTGAAAACAATCCACCATGTTTTAAAGATGTATTCAATTAAAAGGCCATTCAGTGTTTATCCAATTATGCGCAATGTACAATGAGCATTAACAGACAGATTTTCATTTTGTCAAATGAAATCTCATATTTTAATGTTATATTCAATCTGTATTTGAGGTCAGGAGAATCTGAATGGCAGCAACTTGTACAATCATCAATAAAACAAGTCACTGAACTGTTTGAGCTGGGTTACATCTACAGTATAATTGGTACTAGAGGACTGGCAAGTAGCACACTTGAAGAAGGCTTCTCATCCGAAACATTGTGTTTTCTCTCTTCTCTTTTCAGCATGAAATAAACCTATTACTTGTTCCTTAATTATTAAAAATGATTATATCCTCTGGCACTAAATTCCATACAAATGTTAAAGTTTGCAACCTACCGTTATCTTGTGTATTGTACACATGCACATCAATGAGCACAGAAATGGTAAATGAATAGTACCTCTCCTTCAGCTGAAGACCCATGTGGACTGTAATAGTAACTCCCATCATCTTCCATAATCACCTCTCCATACTCATCATACATTCCTGCTGGAGAGATTAACCTCCGGCGACTGCCATACTGAGGCAAGTCGTATCTGAAACAGAAACAATGAACTCAGCCATCAGTTTATTCACAGAAACAGTTGGCCAAAACTGCACTTTAGTCAGGCAGTTCTGCATTAAGAAGCAGAGCTCAACACCAGAGCAAGTAATAAGTATAGTAGCCCTTGTGCCAAAGGTCAAAACTGAATGATTCAGAAATGAGTCTTGCTTTATATAGGTCACACATACTGTACATTAGTGAGTTCTTTGTTCATTACCTTGGACCATAATGCAATGAGGAGATCATTTAGATCTTCAGTGGCACCTCAGTGATGCCAATTAATCTGTTCTGATGTACAGTGCATGAGACCTATGATCATTCTGAGTTACAAATTAACAATGCTCCACTATAAAAAGCTTAAATTTGTACTATGTCTACCCACTTTTGAAACAGAAACATACTCTTATGTCTATACAGTATGTCTAGCTGAAGTAACTGAAGAATATTTCATATTATATACTGTACTCCGTCTGAATTGAGGTATGATACTACCATATATGGGGACTAATTTAGGATGGATTGCAAAATAAGTTTGTTACCATTTGTTCTGAGGGTAAAGTCAAACTTACCACGGAGGAAAAAAATTATAAATAACTTTAATTGTTATTAAATGGGGAATGTTAATTTAAAATATTTCATCATAGTTACCATCTGGTAACATGTATTTGATTTTCCAGCTTGAAAATGTTAATTGCATAAAAAGAAAAAGAAAATAAATCTGTCTCTTTTTGACAAACTGAAAATTTTAAACACAACGGTTATGACTAACAGCTTCCAAGTCTTTATGTTGTCATTCTTTTAAAATGTTTTAATTCAGAAACAAAATTGCTATAGAAATTTCTCATGTGGTACTATGACAATACGCTACATATCCCATATTTACAGGCTTTTAGCAGATCTCTCATTTAAGTGACACAAAGCAGCAGGTAAGTGCTTCTGTCATCTGGTATTATTATACTGCACTATAGTCCAACGTCTGGCAGCTCTGCTAGTTAACATCTTCCATCATGCAAAACTATCAGGATCTCTCCTGGGTGCTGGAGTAAATTCTAAGAAATGAGCTCAGAGTACAACATTTGATCTGCATCTGTTCATCTAACCATTGTAAACTTTACTGTGGACCATATGGGTAACCCTCCACATGCATGCCTTATTAAGCCACCTGCCCTGCTGTTGTTGTCTAAGCAAACCAAACAAGTTTATTGTTAATTCTGTTTCAAAAAAATATATTTAAAAATGTTAAATATACTGATATCAAAAAGCACACCAACTGTAAATGCCAAGCATAGCTCACATTTCAGTTTAAAAAACTCCAATATTATAAACACAGTGCTGCATAATGTCACATATTTCCAGATCAGCTCCACTTTAAATGCATGTGAAGCTCTAGATGCATGCTGCCCAGAGAATATCAATGAATGGTTTAAACATAAACATTTAAAGAGCAGAAACTTACCCATGATCGTAATTATAATAATCCTGTGTGTAATATTCCTGTCCAGGATCGATACCTGATTCCATAGAGAGCTCCTGCCATTAAAGCAAAATCATTATTCAAAGACATCGCAGCCTCTAGAAATGGTAAGAAAACGTCCAGTGCCTGCTATAGTAAATTACATGCAAGAACGCCTCAACAGTTTCATAAGTCATAATTTTGTACCTCTGGTCTCAGAAGAGATGGCCTCAGCAATTGCTGTTGCTGCCATAGATTAGTTTAAAGACAAGGAGAGAAGGAAACAGAGAAAAGTTTGAAAGATTTATTAAGAAGAAAATAGATACAGAGGGTTGTCTGTACTCAAGCATGGCTGAAGTCCAAGGAAAAGGAAAGCTGAAGGTAAGCAATGCTGATCTGTCCATGTCTAGATTTGTCACACATTTTGAGCAAATGAAACAAACTGCACGCACCATTCAAAACAAATGCACAAATAATTGCTTTTCTAAATGTTGCTGTGTGACACATTATCAATATAAAAAGTCTTTGAAAAAGTGAGAACATAGTTACAAAAGACTGTATGCTATTTATATGTAGGTGTCTAGACTAGTCTGATAATTTTTTCACTTTTGAAAAAAGAAAACTGAAATTGCTCACATGTCTAATGAAAAAATCCCACAATCATACCACTGTTTTGTAACTACAGAATAAAAAAAAACTCCAGAATACCTACCTCTTGTTGTCCATAGCCACGCCTGCAGGGAGAAGAAACAATAGAAAATAAAATTAAATAAATTAGAATAAGTTTTAAAGTGTTTTGAACTTATAAATGATTTTACTTACTGTTTGTTGTCTATGAGTGTGATGTAGTATCACACACAACTTCAGCCCATTGCACATTTTTAAAAGATATATTGTTTTGGGGCTGATCTTCTTTCAAGGCATTTACAAGGACAATATAAAAAATACAGTTCTTTCATTCTTATTTGGAACAGAATAGAAAACTTAAGAAGACAGTTTGGAACTAAACTACAGCAGTGCAAGAACACAGGAAAGGAACACCACAATGCCTTTTTTATGACTAATAAAATGTACACTTTAACACAACTGATTCATTGCCATCTGGTCTATCATCTGTTTTTGTTATTATTTTTGGAACATGAATCTGTGGATAAAAGTTTGTTGAATTCACGCAGGAAGTGGGTAATTTCTACTAAATTACAATGAACTAAGGAACCTTATTAAAATGTATAGTAAGGGAAAATAATTACACAAATCATGAAAGGAAATTTATAGAAACAAGGAAAAAATCATATTTTAGAAACATAAGAGTTAAATGAATGCAAGTCCAGGCCTGGAAGCAATCCCATACTACTGGGTGTTGTTGCATAATATGATAGTAAAGCTCTTTAAAGGCATATTGTGGGTCTACATGTTCAAAACTGATTACATTTTAATGTAGAAAAATCCTAATAGCCTACTCATGTGAAACCAGTTAAATTTCATTCAGGACCAAGCACTAGAAATGACAATGCTACAACTACTCTGAGGTGGAGGAGGAGAAAATAGTTTAACACTGTGCCAAGATTAAGCAAGTTCAAAGGCAAAAGGCTGGGGAAAACATTTAATTACATTGGAGACAAAAATAAAAGACAAAGATGTGCATCTCTTTTAATCTTTTAATGTCACCATGCGTAATGTCTTTGAATTAAAATTCAGCACATGCATCCGATTATCAGAGGCAAATTACTGCAATTGTCCTTTGATGTGAAAGTAATGAGGAATTAAAATTAAGATTTATCACTAAACAATGATTTGTGACTTTCATAAGACTTTTTGAATTTTTTCTGCCTTCGTGATCTGACATAATCTGTTTGTTCAGCAAAGCCTCAAAACCGTACAAGTTCTTAAACTCCACATGCGGACATTGAGCATGATGAATAATATGTTAAATGAGGTCGGACTGTGCAATCTGGAAACTAAAAAAGAAATAGGTTTTGTAGGCCTGCCATCATGAAGTACACTATTTCTTATAATCCTCATTTAACAAGTCATGCATCCTTTTTGTCTTTCATAGTAAAAAGAGGTTCTGCCCCTACTCATGTGGTACAATCAAATTATTAGGAAACTTATTTATTACAGAGGACAAACCGTACCCAATCCATGGAAATAAACTCTTCTTTGAGTCACCTGTGACGCACTTTGCTGGCTAATAACAGGATAAATTATAATTATGTGCGATTGTGACACAAGCATTTGTTTTGGGAAAAAATCCAATAAAAGCCAAATGTTTTCTGGTAACAGGCATTTTTTATAAAAATAAATAATGTCCAAAAACAAAAATAAGTAATAAAACAAAAGTAAATTAGCATCCCTTATGTACTGTAATCCATCTGCTTGCTGGAAAACACAGTAATAACAAAAATGTATTTAAATCTCCAATGGCAATCTGTTCTTGATAATACACCTGTTAGCAAAACTCCCTCATGCTTGATTTCAGACACTTATGTTTTTAACTCCTTCATTCTCATAATACAAACATTCAGCTGTTCATTTCAATGTTACTGTAATTTCTGTGAGTTGAATTTGACAGGACTCAGCTTCACATTAAGTCCATTTCCATTAACCTCCAATAGATCTCCAATAGATGGATACATGAAGGCACAGATTTCCTGAGGGGTGGCACAACACATAGCTGGATTTACAGTAACTCTGGGAGTTTAGAAAGTGCAAAGGAAAAGTTAGGAAACTGGTATCGGCATTCCTACATAAGACAATTTGTATCTTCTATGTCTAATATAGTAGCTCATTACCATTAAGAACTGTTAAAGTTAAAAGGAACACAGCTATAGCAATGTAGCGACTGTGCTCTTTATCAGAAGCTTAGAAAATTTAGCTCTAAATAGTGTTTCTCAAAAAAGTGTCACTAGAAGGAGCCCAGGATATCCCCATACACAAACTGATAGTTGTCCATCTTTTTATAACTCAACACCCATTGCAGAACCACTGGACCTGCTCTGACACTGAAAAAAGTACCTAAAAATATGGAATGTCCCCAAACCTCTATAGCTTTGATCAGCACGTCATTACAATAGTTATTGTGTGTAGTACATGCAATTCAGTAAGAACTATCAGAGGTCATCAATGCTACCATGTACAGTATAACTCAATTTTCCCACAGGTTTCTTACTGAATACTCCAAAACTAAAAAACAAATCTTAACTGCTGCTAACATTAAAATTAGATACTGAAAAAAAACTAAAACTTCCATTTTATTCTCATTTTTTTCTTACCTGCTAGCAAAAACTGAAAAAAAACCCAACGTTTTGAAGAGAGATGAAAAAAGATAAAAAAATTGCATAAAAGTGATTGATTGGATGGAAACAACATATGATGACAGTATTTTAGCAGACATGAGTTGTACACAAAGACCCTGCAACTAAAATGAATGTGAACTTCTAAAACAATAAAGAAAAGTCCTCTCAGAGTAAGTGAAAAATAATTAGACAAATATACTGATTATACTGTAAATTAGAGGAAGGGTCATGTGGTATGATTAAATTTATGCTTGCAGTGAAACATTTCATGTATTAAACATAACGTGCTGAAATGTACAGCATATGTGTTACATTTAGGAGCCTACCAGCATCATGATTGATTAGTTAACTAATTAAAAACATTAGTTTTTTATATATTAGGCTTTCAAATGAAGAAGAAAAAGCAGCAGCAGAAGTCCTTACATTTTAAATGGGGACACCCCTCCACGACTACCAAAGTGTAGCACCCACCTGGATGATGTGCCAGTAGGCTCACCACACACTAGCCTTCAATGGGGAGGAGAACCTAATTCATAGGTGGGGAATGTTAGGAGGCCGTGATTGCTAAAGGCCAGGGGGAAATCTGGCCAGGACACCAGGGTCATGATTAATGACCATGGAGAGTCAGGATATCAGTGTTACATCTCATCTGTAGGACAGCACCTTTTCTGCAGTATATTGTCCCCATCTAACGGTCCCTTTAACACCTCTTTCAGCAGCAAGCTTAGGAGGTCTCCCATCATGGAACTGACCAGACTCACACCTGCTTAGCTGCACTGGGCTGCCACTTGTGAATTGAATGGCGATATACCTGCTGGCTTAGTACTGATCATTACAAAGCAAAACATTATACCTTAATTTAAAATCAAGGTTAATGTTGACCAAACTTTTGTAATACCTATTTAAATATAAAATAGTAGATACTGTATATACTGTATTGATATACCTACACATATACTGTATGTACAAATGTGATGCAAGTCTTCTGTCTGTGCTTATATAGACATTATTTTAAATACAAAATCCTTGAAAAATGTGATGGATTTCATAATAAAATCACGTTTCTTTCTCTCTTTCATAACACATAATGCTCAGCAGTAGTGAATTCTATGTACTGTAGGTCAAGAGTAATTTGTTTAGTGCCATGCAATTCAATATGAACATTAGGTATTTGGTGAACTGCTTGTTTACAAATTCTACATAGCTCACGTTTAAATAATAGATATCATCCCTGAAACTGTACAAAACAGGACTTGAGTACTGGATGGCTTATTTCACAGAACAGGCTAGAAGACCACTTCAGAAGGATTGCTAAAGGTTTGTAGTCTTGAGCATTAAAGTTGTTTCTTTCAACAGTTTATACAGTGTGTGAAACTAGATTGTACATTAGATGGAAAAATGAAATGAAAGTGACAGCACTGTGCATTAAGTTTGTACAAAAGAAAATAAAAGAAATAAAACAAAAACAGAAGCACACATCATACCAGTTTAGCAAAGCTTTATGTTAAGGAACTATTCCCAGAAAATTCAGAAACAGTGAAACAAGACCATAACATCACCTTAGACCATAGCAGGACATGTAGAATTATGAAGTCATGGGAAGCAATTGCTTCTAATTATTGATGATGAGTAATGGAATTTCATATACATATGTATACATGTACATAAAGTTATAATGTATGATGTTTAAGCATCACTGTATTAGAATTTGTTTCAATGCAATGCTATCCATTTTTGCTTTATATTTATTTAACAATCTGCAGGAAACAGCTAAAGCCTATGCATGTCATATTTTTTCAATATATGGTGCCTTATGCACTTAAAACATATAACCTATGCCAAGAAAATTACATCACATAATTATTACACCTGCAGAGATCTCTGTAAAATACTGTTTTTAAAATGTATATTGTGTATAAGACCTCCAGAAGAGCTTTCAAAGTAACCTTACAGTTCTGAAAAAACATTTACAACATGTGGAAAATGCATGAAAAGTTAAACAAAAACAGCAATGGAAAAGGAAACAGAGAAAAATGACAATTACAAGACAGTAGACTGAGATGGAAATTGCTGTTCAAGCTCCTCCACAATACAGTTCAAGCTACTGTTCGGCTTGCTTTGGTCCTCTTGAGTCTCTGACTGCAGTTTTGCAGTTTCAACAGACACTTGTGGTTTAGGGGTACTCTTCAATGCTTTGTGGTTTTTGTCTATTTGACTATACATGTTGGCAACAGATTTTTCTATCGCTGCTAAATTTTGGATGTTTTTGAGAATTCCCTTCAGCTCCTTCTTTGGGATTGGTGGTTGGGGCGCAGGTGGAGGGATGGGAGGAGGAGTGCGCAAGGACACTGGGCGCAGGGGCGAAACAGAAGGCATGGGAGGCAAGACAAAAAGAGGAGCTGGCTTTCCGAGCGCAGAGGGAGAGGAGCACGGAGAAGGAGGGAGCGGAGGCGGAGGTGGGGGTACAGGGAGAGGAAGAGGGAGAGAGAGGGGGAGAGGCGGAGGGGGAGGTGGAGGTGGAGGTGGAGGTGGAGGTGGAGGAACATCTGGAGGATCTGGGATGACCTCCACTGTAACCTCACAAGGCGTGTCCAACATGTAAGCAGAACTGGTGGAGCTGGACTTCCTGAGGATGGGTGGAGTGGGCTTATGAGCCGGTGGGGGGGAACCATAAGAGTGGGTAATGATGATAGATGGTGCAGTCTGTGATATAGGAGACAGAGGTCGCAGCAAGCTACATGGGCTCCCCAAAGAGGGAAGCAAAAGACCAGGATTTAGATCTAGCATGCTTCCTTTTATTTCTGCCTGGCCACTTTTTGGCGGGAGTGGAGACTGCAATCCCCTGGAATCCCGCCTTTGCTGCTGGTTCATTTCCTGCAGGGCCTGCTGCTCAAATTGCCTGGCCTGTTCCTTAACAGTCAGTTTTGTCTCCGTGTCCTTACTGCTGGTACTGGCCCTACTGCCCCAATTCTCTTTACTCCCTCTCAGCTCAGTTTTGAACAATTCCATCTCCCACTGAACAGGATCCATGACTACTTGTCTGCTGAGCGTATCATACATCTGCCGCCTGTGAAGCCGTGATGGCAATGTCCATGAATGGTGAGACCCAGCAGAGGGAAGCTTCAGGAGAGACTCTTTTAAGCCGAGTCTTCTGGAAGATGGCCTACCCAACAAAGCCTTCCTCTTTTGTGAGAAACCAAGACCCTCTGGGCTGTTCCTACTGTCTTCGTCATACAAAGGGTTTTTGGTAGTCAGAGGGTTTTCATCGGACAAGAAGGTAATGTTACTAGCCGACTTTGGAAGATTGTTGTTCAATGCTCCATTGGAAGAGGACTTCTTGTGTGCTGTAATGGCACGTGAAGCGAATGTGCTTATAAGTCTTTGTCGATCTCCTTCTTCGAAAACAGACTTTTTTCCCCTGCTTTGTTGAAAATGGTAGAGAAGAAAAAGACTTGAAAGAAAAGAAGATAATGAGGTGTAAGGAAATATGTAGGAGACAGAATTTAGTGAAAGAAAAATCTACTGTGCCCCACTCTCACTGGAAATATAGTGCTATCTCAGTCTATTGAAACTAACAGTTTCAACATGTAATTAATGTCCGTTTGACACAATAATTGCACTTTAGATAAAGAAGCTTGTTTAAATTCTAAACAAATACTACAGGAATGTTAAAAAAATGAGAATTACAATTTTACCACAGTGGTGCCTAAAACGGAAATTCCAAGCCCTGTATTCTCATAGCAGTACACCTTTTAACTCTATTAACTTCTGATCTAACTGGTTTTCAAAAGCTCTGCTGTAATGAGAGTGGAGTGTGTGCGCTTAAAAGTGCACACAACTAATAGTTTTGTGTTACAGGGAATTCACTATGTCTAAGACAAAATACATTTTAATATGGGTGTAAGCAAAATATCACATATTCTATTTCCCTGTGACTAATGCATAAAACAGTCATAGTGTTTTTCTAATTAATCATCTCCATACTTTCATGTAATTTATAGAAAAGGCACAGACAGCTACTGTAGATGGACCAAATGAGCTCCTCTTGTAAATTTTATTATGCTCTTAAAGACTATGACCCCACCAACAATTAGAACGTCTTAAATTTTCTTCTTTGTGAATTATTTTTTATTATTTTGTCTGATTTTCATTTGCAGAAGTAAAACCATCACTAAGTACCAGGTTTGTAACTTGCTGTTTTCAGGTGGGTACCAATTCATACTTAATCTGGAGCAAGATTTTTACTTGTTTTAGATGGATTTAAGTGGTTTTGCACTGAATATTAATGCTAAAATTCTAATCAATTCAGCTTTTCAGATATAGTGAAAATCTTTCTTAGTAACTGCTGTGCCATTTGAATTGCACGCAGTATTATTTATTCATTGAGGTTAGCTCTTTAACTAAGGTAATTTGGCAATAAAACTATTGTTTTATATGGAAAGACACTTTATATGCTACTGGTTAAGAGTAAAAGCACAAATACATGTCAGATATTGAAGATTGGCTCCCTACAAAGAAACCCAACAGCAGGAAACTAATAAAACATAAAGCAGCCTGCATTGATAGTACTGAGCAGTACTAAATGCTACTGAGAAGCCATATAATTTACTTAGCTTATACCGTAGGTCCAATTTTCAAGTCACTGAGAAAAAAACTACTTACTGATGCCTGAATCCACACATTGGTTATGAATGGACATGACCAAGGATAGACAAAGGTAGATGGAAGAAGTTAAAAAACAAGGAATGATCAATTACCAAAACTGTAAATAAATTACAGAATATATATATAAGAGTTTGCTCCTTCCTAGATTAGGAACACACCTGACATTTTTAGCATTCTTGATAAAATACAACAAAATCTAGACCATTGGCCAAGAAAATCTAGACCACTTCCAGATACACAACACCTCGATAACATTTTCAAACCTAGGAGAATGTTCATTCATTTTGAAAAATCTGTATTTAACCTTATGATATTACATGTGCAAAGAATTCACATTGGTTTCTCAGGTATAAATAAGATGTCGAACAAAGTGAGATGGATTTTCACAGGCCTATAAATTCTGTTTTTCAGTCTAAGTAATTTATTTTCCAAATCCATCCAATGCTTGTGGCACACTTCACATCAAACTAGTGACACCTTCAATGTACTTGGAAAAAATCAATCAATAACTTCTAAAAAGATATGAAGCAGTTGTCTGAGCCTATATTTAGATTTGAATTTTGAAGCTTTATTATCTTAAATTAGCCTCAATAAAACCTTACAGTGCAGATACTCAAAAGAAATGAAATATCTCCACACTTGATCAAACCTAAAATGGTTGCACAGGAGAAACATACCATGAGAACTGAACAGAATAAACTACAGTATGCTGTATTTTGTAAATCTCTGTTCTCTGTTTAGTTTATTAGTGCTAAAAAGGCAATGGTCTTACTCTGTAGCTTTTGCCAAACCATTACAATAATATTACAATAGCTCTTTTTGTATATAATTGCATGTGTAGTATTTACCATAGTCACAACATGTCATTATTAGCCATACTATCATGTTGCATAGAATACTATTAACTTCTTATCTATACACTAAACCTATTTCATTACAGATTTTTTTAAATTAAATGCTGCATTTATTCCAATTATACCAAAGTGGCATTAACTTCCTCTGTTCTACAGAGTCATGCTTGACATGTTTCTGTTCATTTATGTTTCCTTTTAATCCCAAGCTACAATATTTCCTACCAAATTTAAGATCATATTTTACTTGAAGATGAAATCCAATTGGATTAATTGCACCATATCAGGCTGCACAAATCTGTTGAAGCATGGAAGACTGATAAATAAAAAAGGTGAAGAAAGTCACAGCCAAACTCATTTTCCAGCAAAAAATGATTACATTGAAGAGAAGCACAGAGCAGTCTTGTTTACCTTTCGGATAAACTTTAAACTCTTATTATTTTTCCACAGGGCAAAATCCATTGTAGGAACAGAGTTCACTAATAACCATTTGACCTTTAATCTGAACACATAAATTGACTTGAGATTATATTCATAGATTTATAGAAATACACATTATGAAAAAGTACTTACATAGTGCTGTCCCCGAGCTCTTCGTATAGATTATTGGTGGCACCCCCTGCAGTTTTGCCTGCTGGCAGTGCCATCTGGATTCTTGCTGTCTTTGCACACTCTGCCTGTCGTCTTTAGTAATTGGAAAGAGAGATATATGAAACCCCAGGTATTGAAAGCAATGTCAGCATATTTTAAAGAAACTTACATGACAACCTAAATAAATAATTGACCATATATATTACCCATAATACCAAGCAGTTCAAGGATACCAAACCCACAGGTACATTTTGTATTACTTTTAGGCCTGTTTTTTTCTTCTATTTTCATGCAAACAATGAATTTACCCATCACATGAACAGCTAATTAATAATAATGTGGTAAAATAAGGTTTTCAACCCAAAGGATCACAGAACATATACAGTCTCATTTGGGCAAATCTGTAAGGTTATAGACTTACCCAAATTACTTGCGGTTATGCAAATGTAATTTCTGCCAAAGGTGTGCCCACCAAATATTGAGTTCACAGGTCTGAATAGTTATGCAATGAACATGTTTCATTTTCTTTCTCTTCAGTTTTTGCTGACATTTACTGTAAATTATCTTGCCCTTAGAAGTCTTCAGTTTAACATTCAGGTTTTAAATCAAATATTAAGTTGAAAAAATCATTTTACAAAAGGGTCTGAATACTTTTGCAAGGCACTGTATAAATGCTCTAGAATAAGTAAAGGTTTATTCCATACTGAAAGGAAAAGAAGAAGGCTCCACAACTGAAACATTGTCTCTTTTCTTTTCCTTTCAGCATTGAAGATACTTTTATCTTTTCCTTAGCAGCTTAGGCATGCTGACACAGCTACTGTACCTATTTGAACTTCTTCAATGCAATAACATACTGCATTCCAATAATGTATAATAATACTTACTCTTTAAACCTGATAATAGGCAAGGCAGAAACAGAAAAGAGGGAAGCAAATGTTAGTAGTTATTCAGAAATCTACAGTATATATATTTTACTAGATGGCTTACAGATGTCATCATTCATATTCTGAAAATGTAGTTTTTCATTTTCATGCATTTTATGGTTTTCTTCTTTAAAACTACAATTCCATTTTATACTGGTTAGAGGAAATTCCACTACATAACAGATGGTGCTGACTGCTCAATCCACAAGGTGTAGTATTCCAACATAAATACAATTTCTTGAGAGACACCCACAGGCTTTTATTTAACATTCTAGAATTTAGCCCCATGTTTTCAAGCTTTTTCTCTTTAATACTATTAAGAACAAATAGTATATTGTAATTAAAACAATATCCTCTGAACATGGCAGTACAATAGACAGAATGTTGCAGATTAAAATCCCACTATACTGTGAGTGGATCACCAAAAATGCCCTTTGTTTCATTCCCCAGGCTCTACAGAGGTAGTTGGCTCCACCTCCAATAGTGTACATGCTCAGATTAGTACAACAATTGTGACCCATCTGCCATTTACACATTAATTCAAACAGAAGTGCTTAAATAAAGCCGGAACAGCAAAACCTAGTCATCCAGACAAATTCCTTCAGAGGATTCACGTTCCTCATTTTAAAGTCTGTTATCCTTCAAAAACAGCACTCTGTCTAACAGTCACTGGCATTTTTATGAGCATTCTCAACAAACAAACATCTCATTTTGCCATATGCTGATTTGCTATCTGTTCCTGTTTATTAAAATCAAAATGCTGTAGCGTGTTTCTCAGCTACAGCATTCACAATATTCATACTTGTTAAAGCATGGCATAAATTAATTTACTTAAGATGACCTCTTTTCTCTAAACTGCCTTTCTTACTATTTATGGAGATAGACTAGTACTTTTTTTGTGTATTTTCAAAAGTACGTAAATTCAGGTGTTTCTTCTAAAATGTATATGAATGAATATACTCACTGTCTGTAGGTGACCATGACTATTAAAATAGCAGGGATACAACACAGAATTATGATAATAGCCAAGGCTAACAAAGCCCCTTCTGTGTAACCCACTGCTTGTGCTGCCTTCTTCACACTTGCTACTATGTCAGGCGTTCGTATTTCCAGAATACGCCCTCCCTGACCAAGGTAAGGCTGGAACTCTTTGTTAATATCCAGTAGTTTTCCATCCAGAAACCTTAAAGAAAAAGACACCAGTATAAGCAAATCCTTTCTTTCCCAAATACAATATGAGTTGCAAAACTGTTGCTACACAAATAGCACACTTTACTTGCAGTTTTTTAGGTTTTTGATCAATAATGTTCACACATTTATCATCAAAAGAGTGACACTTTCAGTACATGATAGGCAAATAAATTTGCATAAGCACTCATGTTTTATAAATATTTGTTATATCTTTTAGCAGATACTCTATATCAAATAAATAAAAGTGATACTATTGCTCCTAAATACTGCCAACAAGAAAGTTTCATCTTAAGCTATTTGGTAAACATTGAGAAAATGTGATTTTGCACTTCCAGTTAAAATAATTATGTGGGTAGAAAGTATATTTGTACACTTTACATTTTTACCAGAAGGAGAGATTACCATCTGATTTAATCAAGTTGACAGGCAATAAGAGGCCATTCTTATGCCTACTTTAATATTCTCCCAATGACATATAAACAAATAACAAACTCAGTGAGTTTGAAAAGAAAACCTTCACATGCAAAAAAAAACCAGTATGGTCATCAACAGAACAGCATTTTGGATTCATAGATTTAGACATGATCGTGTTTGCTCAAGATAAATGGTTGAAGTTTTATTTTTCATTATTTAATATCAATTGAAGATACTGCTGTTCCATGCTAAACACAGTTTATTGGGTTGCTGTATTGTTTTGATGATATTTGGCAATCTGAAGAATACCGCCACTGCTTTACCGATGTGACTTTCATGTTGTCCCTTTCTGAAGAGTTCTCAAAAATAGGATTTTGAAGGTGACACAACAGTTTAGCACTCCACCCACATTTCCTGACTCTGTGAATGTACTATAAGTGTACAGTAATTACAAAATCTAAAGTGAAACATGCAAGATATAAAGTAAGCTTTTCATTTAAAACCACCAGAGAAACGTTTTCTAATAATGTATCAGAAAAGCTATTATTACAGAAGAGACCTACCAGTTCATTTTCATCAGTGTCCTTTCTTCTTGGAATGCTGTCTTTGAGATAAAACTTCCATACTATGCTCTCAAGTAAAATCTCATGAAATTGCCTTCATTATAACATACACCTCATCATAGACTACACTACGCTGGAGGCCAAGGACAGTCCTTTAATACAGGGAGATTAGCAATGTGCTCACAAAGCATTTCTTCAAACTCAAGTGGGATTTTGTGTCCTATACTGTTGCAACTGGTTTTTATTTTAGCCAGTATCTAAATATATTGACTGAATTACTTGTCCCTGGAAAAAAGTAGTCAGTCATGACGTATTTTTTCCTCCTTGGAGACGCAAGGTGAAGAGGGACAGGTGGGGGTTTCACTAGTCTTCCGAGTGCCACACCAGGGGCAGTGTGACACATCCTAGCTCTTATTCTTTTCTGAATGGCAGATCTAGAGCAGCTGCCAGGTGGTGGCACAAGGATAAACTCTGAGGGAAGAGTCAGATATATTGTAAATGGATGGAGATGAAATGTTTGCAGACAAAGCAGCGACGTGCACTGTTGTGGAAGCAGATAAGACCAAACGCAGGACCCAAAATTTGTCAAAGAAGCCCTGCCTCCTTTTTTGATTATGAAAAGGACCAGTAAACTAGAAAGGACAGAATACAACAAGGCTGTTTAACATTAATTGGTACATTGGTAAATAATATGTTTGGATTTACATAGTGGCCAACTGTTCATAAACAAAAAGAAGAAATGCACTAATTTAGAAATAAGACTACATTGATATTAAACATTAACTACACATTCTATTGAGGTTTGTTTCAATGTAAATATTTTTTGATTGCATACTTACCTCATAAATTATACTTAAGGGAAAACAGTAGCCAAAACAAAAATAAATTAACTAAAACATCTGTCAGTAGAAATCATAACTCTAAACCCCCGACAATGCTCAGAATGTGCTTACTTGAAAAGTTCTTGTCGTGAAATGGCCCTGTTTGTTAATGGGTCAATAGCATACACCATGAGGTCTGATTTGGAGTAATCCTCCTGCTCAAATCCGTCCCCGAATCTTCGTGGTCCAATGGACTCCACAACCACTTTTGCCCCTGGAATCTGATCCTGGACATATCGTTCCAAAATCCTGTGTTTTGAATTAATGTTTAGAAAGAAAAATAACTTGGGAATAACTGGGAAGGTAGCACTTATTGTACATAAATACATTCAGATCCGATAATCATTGCCACATTGCAATATTATAATTTGCAAAACAGGTGCTTTGATAATTCCAAGAAAACATTTTGAGACATACTCTAGCATTGTCAATATTTCCCAAATGAAAGATAGGTTAGTGGTAGTTTCCACAATTTTGGATACATCAGCAACTACTTTGTGGAGTATCCTTTTTTACTCTTCAATATGGGAAACATAACACACTACTGGAAAAATAAATAAAAGGTTATGTAAGAATGTTAGAATAATAAATCTTAAAATAAGAGTCCACAATGAAATAACTTCAGGCGTACTGTAAATGTCCTTGCCTATCAGCAAGCATCTACTACACTTCGAGTCTTCGTATCAGAAAAGGCGGGCACTATACACCAATTACCTGGCCTGAACTGGAATTTTTCTTTGCTATGCTGAAAAAACAATATTGAACTGAGATTGATGGTCTTACCCTTGGGAAGGGAAAACTCAGATAAACACAGCTGAGACCACAGCTCTAGCAGTTAATCTTAGAAGCCGTGTTTGGCTCAAAGTTAGAGGGAACTACTTCCCTCATGTTAACTCTGACACCGAACATCAGCATTGTCAGTAAAAAGGAGTCATTATGATGGACAGGAGCAAGCAATCTCACAGTGGCAATCTCAAATATGCCCTAAGGCCATATGACAGACAAATATGGGTCATGTGTAGAACTGATGATGGGAAAAAATAATTAGAGAAAGTTATGCAGCACATGCCTCCTTCACTGGATCACTGGAACCGATCTGAAAGCAATTTATCAATTTTACTGCCTAATTTAATGATAAAGAGCCTTGAAATATCATTTCACTCTTCTATAGTCTCTTTTATATGAGATTTTTTCATTGGAGGCTGATTAAAATATTAAAAACATAAATATGCAGAATGTTCTTTCTACATTTGTCTTTATGGTAATCAAACAGCACAAGTCACTATTTGATCTTTGAAAGGTGAGGTTAATAAAAATAAATCTGAACACAAGCAAGTGGAACATCTGTTTGGCCCGATAGAGCATGTAGATTAATGGTGTTTAAGTACGTTTAATGTACAAATGTCAAAAATCAAAGTGTTTCTTCTGCAATTATTTACTACATATCAAAAGACTGCTTGGCATTCAAATTTTGTACATGCCTTTGGCAATTTGGTATAATTAGGTTTCTATATGAATGTTTAAAGATAAAAGTGATTCATTACCCAATGAGCTGATCTTTGTTCTGTTCCACAACAGTAGGAGGAACATTTGAAACCACAACTTGCATATCCAGTTGATTGACCACAGATATCTAGAAATAAAGGAGAAAAACTCAATTGATTCTACTCTGCATGACATCCCCCTGGTACCAAACAACACAACAGTCATTGTCTTATCTGAAAACCATGTGCTTATTTAATGTATTCCAAATTCAATAGTACAATAAATATGGAAATCCTATTCTACACGGCTGCCTGGTCCCATATACAGCATCCATGAAATTAAATGTTCATCGGAAATTAACAAACTGCAAACTGTTGTGTGGTTTCACACAGTCACACCGAAAAACTGATTATGTTAACACAATGAGGCTCAGCCCAGGTATTTATGCTCATTTCCCACAATTGAATTAGCAGAGCAAATAGTATGTACATTGTATATCATATGAAGTATAAATACATTATAGGAAGCAACTGGATTTATGCACACATATATTTACTGATAATAAATTACATTAGGGGGTTCCGTAGTACATGTTATGATGGAATATGATACAACCAGAAAATAGTAGGAGAGGGAATTAATTCACTCTCCATGATCCCTGTCCTTTCTTTTCATGCTTTAGCCTGAATTGAAGGGTGCTAAATGTTGTCTTGTTTCTGTGATAAGAGTTAAATGGCTTGAGACCTGAGCTGGCTTGGAAGCTAAGCTGAAACATTTGAAAATGAAACAGCAGGTAATATTAAAACAGCTGTGCCTATTGGCAGCAAACACGGCATCATCTTGTGTTGTAAATGGCAGCTGAGTTCTACAGTATGTTTGCTCTCAACACAGCCAAAAAAATATAAATATTTTTAGTTAACAGAAAGCTCAAAGATTTTTCTGAGAGGGATACTTACAACTACTTGTGCACTGCTGCTTAAACCTGCTCCATAGTTGTCTGTGGCAATGACTTCAAATTTAAAATAGGACCTCCGCATGTTTCTATACATGATTGCTGTTTTAATGACGCCTGTGTATGCCTCAATCACAAAGCCATCCTTGCCATCATTTGATGGCGGTATAATCAATCTGTACTGCATTGCGCTGTAATTCCCAGTGTCCTTGTCCGTGGCCTGTGAAACAGAAAAAAACAAGTTGAAAATGTTTTTTAAAGAAAGAAAAACTATTTACCAGTACAGCTGAAACCCATTTTTCTTACATTTACATTTTTGCAACTTTTTCAGCAGAGGGAGACTTTGAGCTACTAAAGCTTAGTGGAAAGTCTGATACTTCCTCTATTTCTTAGCCAACTTGAACATCCAAAGCTCTACTCCGCAGTGACATTGATTTATAACACTTTTTAGGCCTGAAACAGTGCACGCTAAAAGGCAAAAAGATAGCAGCGTGCACCGCACAACCTCTGTCACAAACACAAAGGAGGTATTTTTTTTGTGACGATGTTACTAATGCATGCTAGGCTTCATACTTTACAATTCAAATGAGAAAAGGCACCCCAGCCTAATTTTAATATACTGTAGACACTTGCAAGTGCTCAAAGTTAGATTATTCACATAAATTCATTTTAGTTTAAACCAATGGATAATAATTATGTTCAGAGGAAAACTGTTTGGATCTGAGAAAACTAGGAAAACCAGTTATACAAATCCAAAGCTGTCATCAGATGTCAACTTGTGAATATAATACATGGTTTTGCATTACATTACACATCAGATAAAATAATAAAAATAAGACACAACAAAATACTGTGCAGTTAGCATGTTTAACTACAGTAAATTTTATTGGCTAGGTAAACAATATTTCTGGATAAAACAAAAATGACTTCATTGCTTTGGACATTGAATACCAGGTAAGGAAATATCTGCATGATAACAGAACTTTACAGTAAATATTCATAAAGAGTGCGGACTTAATAAAGAGTGAGCACCAACATAACGGGAATACTGGGTTTTCAAAAATATAAGATAGCACATAACAGAAGGAAACTAACTCATTCAGGGCTTTTCTAGGTTTTAGCAATTATACAGAAGGAAAATGGATGGTCTCATGAATTGGATTAAGTTAATTTCTAATAATACATATCCTGAGTATTCTTATATAGTTAGGAAGACTGATTTTTTACCCCCTTTTCTTGAAGAAAAACAATGTGCAAATAAAAATAAATTCTTCAAAAGAAAAATCAATTTATGGCACAGGTGACAAGCATGTATCCCACCATTGATATACATTCAGTACTGTCTACTGTATAATGTCATCAATAAATCATAATAAATCAATGTTTCTGCAGTATTCAAAGCCATAGTATTACAATTTGTCTTCCCTTTTTGATACAGTACTATACTGTTTCAATTGAATCTTTTTCTGAAACTACTTTGAAGAAGGATTTAAAGTAGATTAGCTTAATCTGGGAGCTGCTGAGCTGCTTTTTGTGAATCCATATAAAGATCTGTAATGTATTTTCATTAATTCGGGAAGTATTAGACATTGAAAATACGTGATAAACTGCGCTAAACACTTACTGTGAACAAAATTCAAAAGCTTATAAGTTAACAATAGGAAAGAGTGAAATCCAGCTGTTATACACCACCCCTTGAGCATCTGCACGCCTTGACAAATAAGACAAAATGCTGCTAGTCAGAAAATAATTGTATATCTTTTGAATAGTGTTGTAAGAAGAGGGAAATTGTTTATTAGGAAATTGTGTGCATTTCCATTTTTGTTTAACTTCCAGTGTCTGCTGCTGTGTGGCAGAGCTGATATAACACTTTCTCTACAGGCATCTCAATTCAAAGCTCCATGTTAACCAATTCAACATTCATTTTTAACAAGTCATCTTAAACTTTAAAGATTAAAGCTGTTGCCCAGGATCATGACTATCACCAGGTAACATTTATAATAGCTACAGTAACTATTTGCTAGGAAAAAATGCCAAGAACTACTTCATTATTGATACCTCTGGGACCACAGCCTTCATAATAATTGACATCTACAGTACGTTTAACGTTTAAGTGACTATTAGCGTTTTCAGACAGTGCTGAAACATGGAAATTCTTAAATGAAGTTTGGGAGGGACAACGACAACCAAGGCTTTTGCCCAAGCTGTTCTAAATCATAATTATTCCCAATGTCATTTCTTGAAGCTATTTAAACAAATCATATGTAAATATCTTCTTTTTTGCCTTTTGTCCCAGGCATCCCTCCTCCATCCCTCCTCCACCTTCGTATTTGCAGCTGCCCCTTGGGTAATCTTCATTTTGCATCGGAGTTCCCAGCCTGCCAGAGTCAAATCTCACCATACCTTAATACGCAACAAACATTTTCAAATGCAGCAGATTCATGGGTGTCCTTATTCCTCATTAAATACTCATCAATCAAGCAATTATATCTATGAATCTGGAGAAAGACTATATGGGATGGCTTGTTTTGTCCTGTTATTAATGAAAGACAAGACCAATTATCCTCTTACTTACTTGGACTTTCAATACAGAGGTAAATGTCCTTGCATCTTCTGCCACTCCGCCAAGGTAGAGTTTCTTCGTAAAAACTGGAGGGTGATCATTTTCATCTTGGACCTCAATAAACACTTTTGCCGTGTTGCCTGGTAAAACAGTGATATAACACTGATGATAAAAATGTGTGTATACATATTTAAAATATAACATAAATTATGTTTTCGTTTTGACCACTTATTGACAATTTCTATAATTGTCACTTTTATTTCCGTTACCAACACTGAATTGCAATTTATGTTTCATGCATGTATTGATATGCTGATTCACATTCATACATACAGTATGCACACTTTCATGACTGCCTGTAATATAAAAGGCAGAGTCATCAGAACTAAGCCAGTGAATGCATAATGGGAACGCCAAATACACAAACCTATTTATCACATAACCAAATGCTTTGCCAAAGATACAATGTAGGGCGTTACAAAATATCTCCACACATTTTTGTTCTTCCTGCTGTCATCCTAATGGGATGTAAAATGGTGTACTTTAAATAAACTACCAGATAATGAAGTAGAAACCTTCACATTTTGATATGCAAACATTAATTAGAAACAAAATTAAGAACATGATGTGAGGAGGCTAGTTGGCTGATTGGGCTCATTTGATTGCAACTGTCTTATTGACCCAAAGATCTCTTCCAGCCATTTCTTGAAAGATCTTGAAAGGAAATCAGCTCTAACAGCATACTCAGGCAGTTTGTTTCAGACCCCCATAAAGATAATCTGTTCAACAAAGTGTACTCTAATCAGTGCAGGGACACTCTGGCCCAGCATGGCGCTGCAATAATAGAGTGGTTCTTTAACAAAAAGTTTTCATGCAGCCACCTCCTGTGGAACAAATTAAGTGTCCATCAACATTGAAGAATAAGATTCTTCCCACTGGTAATAGCAGTCATATGTTCTAAAACATGGTTTGATTTGATCAGGTTATATACTGTAGTATAGATTACTTTTTTTACAAAACTTTTTTTGTTGCAAACCAAAGAACAGCTTAAAGATGTTTGTTTTGGAAATATGAGCTGTAAGATTACCTAAACATGAAATATACAGTACCTGTTCTGTTATTATAAAAACAATACTCACATTGCACACTCTTGCCAGTACTGATGTGTATACATTCATCTGATTTAAATTTAAATCTTTGAACAATCAAAATACAAACAATAGGATGCATATAAAAGGCTGAAAGAACTGAACATTTATATTTTAGAACAGAGAAGCCTTTAAGAGCATCTAATAAAAGTATTTAAATTCCTCAAAGGCAAAGTCAACTCAATTGACTTCTTCAGAATCAACAATGAAACACGAACCAGAAGACACAAGCAGAAACTACAGTATGTGGAAGCACATTTAAAACTGAGAACAGGAGGCACATGTTTACACAAAGGACTGTGGTAGTAGGGAGCAAGCTACCCAGCTATATTGGTGAAGACAACAGCCTGACTTCTTTCATTAAGATCCTTGGATCAATTAGTTAGTAAATACCAAACTGACTAGATGGGCTGAATGACCTCCTCTTGTAACCTTTCTTATGTTCATATATTCATATAAAAGTCATAAACCAAACTGCTTTAATTGCAGGGTAGAAAGGCAGTAAGGCAACTGTAGTTAATCCTATGCTTTTATTTATAGAATAATGATTGGTTAAAATGTGCATTAAGAAGACATATTTAAAAATAACTTTCAAGTTGTGTTAAATTGATTGTAACCATTACTTCTGCTCAATTAAGAACAAATAAACTGAATTTGGCTAATAAGGCCATGACAGTCTTAATCTGCTAAATCATGCCTGTTAGTGCCTGATGTTTTAAATCTATTAATATTTAAAAACAGCATGAGCCTTCTAATTAATTTCTCCATAATAAGAAAATAAATTCAATGAATGAGCATTTTTGCGTTTTTCAAAAAACAGGAGAGGGAAAATAATGTATTGGTATAAGTTCCATATCCGTTAGATGAACAAGACATGAAAAACAGAGATCACATTTTTGAAGTGCTGTGCTCTTCATTTGCTCATCGTTTGGCTTTAACAATATTCTATACAACCAATATATTGCAGAATGCTATTGAACACTTGTGACTGAAAGCTTACTTTTTGAGGGAACACGCAGATTGGACCTCACTACTTGCATAGAGTCAGCCTGCACACGTAGGATGTAGCTGGTGTTGGTTTCGTAGTCTAAAAGCTTCCTGGTGGAGATGACTCCTGTGCTGTTATTAATGGTAAATTCACCTGAGAAAAACACATGGCATTATAACAAATACAAGTAGTTCAGGTGGGGAGCTGCATCAGCATGCGTAGTCTGCAAAGGAACAAGTAATAGGTTTATTCCAAGTTGAAAAGCGAAGAGAGAAAACACAACGTTTCGGCTGTAAAGCCTTCTTCATGTGTGAGCCATCATTTCAGCATGGAATAAACCTATTACTTGTTCCTTTGTATAACAAATACAATACTCTTTAAAGATGTGCCTGCTTGGAGAAAATGACAATTGTTATTCTTCAATTTGCAGAAAACATACTTTATGCAGTTTTGTGTGAACACAAATAGTGGCAGGCTTTGAAAATGCACAGAAACTGAAATAATGCATTTCCATGCTTTGTATTCGTAGAAGTGTACTTTAATATATGCATCACTGTGATGTTCTGAGGTACACTAGTTTTAAGCCAAAATTCCTTCATATTTCCACTTCTGTGAGCACTGAGTGAGTTTATACAGTATGTGGGTGGTTTAGGATCACATGGTGGCTTAGTTTGCAGACAACAAATGCACAACACTAATTGTGAATGTTTTTCATAACAACAATAAACTTTGAATGCACATTTAATTCTTCATGTTTTCCAAGCCAGGATTAATTCAGGAACATTTTCATTCATATTGTGATCCTATTTTTATACACATGTGATCCAACCTTCTTTTAGAACATATTTGTTTTGAGCAAAGCAGCAATCTCATTTTCGCATCTTGATTAGATACCTTGAGAGACACTTTGTGTGCAGTGTGTGTGACCATTGCATTAAATTAGATTATATCGCCTTGTTATCTATTAATGCTTTAACATAATCATTGAAGCAAGCTCCCTCTAGTGTGAAGAGACGCAGGGCAAAAAAAGCTCTGGAAATTATGTAAAAAGTACTTTTGAAAATGCCACAGCTTCTTAATAGAATTTGAGAAGAAAGACGTTAATTTATATCAGTCTTTTTGAGTAATTAACAAATCGGTTTGGTGTTCAGCAAGATTAAATTACAAATGAGTCCTCACTGTAATGTATAATTGTAACATAGCCTATTGATTAAGCATGTTTTATTCACTTACCGCCTTCATTCCCTGCGACGATGGAGTAGACAATGGTTTGGTTTATAGCAGCTGCCAGTATCACACCAACCACTGTTCCAATGGGAGCGTTTTCACTCACAGGAGGTGGCCTGTGTACATGTTTAAAAAAAGACAAAAATTCCATTAATAGAACATTTGTATGCAAAGATATGTACTCTGGCATTCTGACAAGAGCTGTTGCTATGCAGACTCTCAAGAACACACTTAAGAGACAAGGACCTTTGATGCCCTTTAGGAAGACTTAGTTCTATGCTGTTATACTGCACAATAATCCTGCTTATGTTCATTTCTCAATAGGTGAGGGAAATTCGATTTAATAAGCAGCATTATATATACTAAAGCACTGTAAGTAAAACCAAAAGCAACAACATGAAGGCAGACAAAAGGGTTTTCATTATCTTTGAGTAAGGCTCCATCGATACTGTACATTGATTTTCAGATTTAACAGTATAATGTGCAGCTTGGATTGTAATACTGCATACATAACAAACACTTTAGGTACTCTAGATGTAAAGGTATTTTTACAAACATCTGAGTACAGCAAAATTTGAAATGTTTTACTCCCCTTAAGTGATCTTGTTGACAGCAGTCATGGTATTTCTGATCATATTTAAAGACCGTTTATAGCATCTTCCAGGTCTTCAACTGCCTTGAAGAAATAGATTTCTGATGCAAAATATGGTAAATGTATAATAATACTCCAGTAAAAGTACAGGATTGCAAGTGTTTTATGGTAATAAAGTGAAGTGTAAACATAAGACTCTAGAAAAAACTATGAATGGAACCCCACAGAGAAATATTGAAATATGTCCTCATAGTTTCTACTGAGGCACAGTTGGTGCCTTTTCCAACAAGAAAGCAAAAAAGCAAGTGCCTTTTTACATTCTACTGGTAAATCAAACCACATGAAACTGCACAGCGCAAAAGGAGATGTCCTCCTTCCTGCACATTTCTTTCCAGTAATCAGATTATTTTTTCTGGCCTGTGATGAGTGACAGATCATTTTATTAGTGCTAGGATACCAGTGTGACCACTTGGAGTAGAAATGCATCGGTGGTACCAGTGTCAGTGTCAATGTACCTGATTGATACAAAGGGAGACATTTAAACTGAGCCCCAGAATGGGAAAAAGAAACAGATTTTGAAAGGAAATGAGGAAAATGAGACACAGGAATGTTGTTTCATTTTGTAGTTGTCTTGTAGTTAGTAAACAGATGAAAGTCTGTGCTGTATTTTACTCTTTAAATTTAAATTGCACAGTACATGACGGTACATTATTTTTATACACCATATAACACCTTTATACACCTTTAAACACATCACATGTAATTACAGCTTTAATTTACTGTCTACATCAAGACCCTTAAAAATGGTGCCTAAAGATTATACCTGGAATATTGTCAGATTTAGCTGCGTAAAGAAAAAAAAATACAGATTTTTATTTTACACATTCTTCAATATTGACTTTTTTTACCTGATGAAATAAAGTGTAATATGAAGTCTTGTTTTACAGTTGATATCAGTCTACACAGAATTTTTTTAAAGGTTAACAATCTTTGGTTTTAATGAAATAAAATTGATTGATAGACTTAATACTGGTATCTGTATTTGCCTGGAGATTCCAATATCCACACATATCAATAGTCACACGGAACAGAGAGGTTACTGACACTGACACTGACAATGAAGCAATGGCTGAACTGTATAGAAAAATACATACCGGAATCCTGTTACTGTATTATTAAGACACACTAGCCCTAGATGAGTTTATATTAACAGTTAAAGGAAACTAGAGATAGTAACTGTAACCATGAAAATCACTGAACCCTATCTGCAAGGAAAAAAAACATATATGTATATGTATGTATTACAACTTGCTAAGATAGTGATAAAAAACAATGAATCAGAAACAGAACCAGGTTCTGACCAGGTTGATAACGCAGACTTGATAATTTTATAAAGCTGACAACAATCTGTGGAAGACAATAAACTATTTTGTTTTCTACTTGCTTTCTACAAGTTTGAAAGCTCCTGGCCTTTTTTGAAGCGATGAAGAACACTGTCTTAACAATATCGAGCTCAATAAGTACTATGAGAAAAAAAGCCACACCTCTAAATGGATGATATCTTGTGAGAAGTAGAGCAATTGTCAGCCTGTTGGCTTTTTTATTACTCCAGGTGTTCTGTCTTTTTGACCTTGAAAACTCTGTATGTTTTAGAATATTTATAACAATGTTTTAATCATATACCTGTAGATGTAATGAATGGCAAGATGTGAGTCTCCTCTTCAGGGTTCACACTTTATTAATATACATCTGCCATGTCAAATGATGGAATTCATGAGACTCCTTTGGCACTACAGTTCCTTTTCTCATATCAAGATTTTCTCAAATCAAGATTAATCTAAGTCGCCTTAATTTTTTTAAGAATAAAAATAAAAATAAATGCTTTCCCAGCATGAAGCAGTGAAAAATACCAAGAAGACCAAGACTGTACTCAGCAACTCTCAATTTACTTATTCTTCTTCCTCCATCACCACTAATCCTGACAAGGCATAAGAACCTAGTGCCGAACAGATGTTTAACAGATGTGCTGAAGGGCAAGGGCTTGGCTGGCTAATTGTACACCTGCAATAACATTAGCTGGTGTGCAAGCAATGACTACTGTATATTGATCATGTGCTCCGCATGCCATTAAAAATGTATAAAAGATGTAGTTTAACCTTGAGTTGGAAACTATTATGCTATGTTAGCTGCAATGGTATCAAATCTGCTAAAGCCAGTATCAAGTGAGAAAATAAATGAAATACCCAGTTTAATTTACAGTGTAGGATCCCATAGCCCTTCACAGCATCATCAGGATTTTTTATAGCAATTGTTTACAAAAATATTATTGTATGTAAACACCTAAAACAATAACAATGAATACTTGTTATAACAGTTATGAATGTAATCACTGGAAAAACCGTGACTTATGATAAGGTATAAAATAATGAGGAATAATGCTCAGGATATATTCACCAGATGTCATGCTTTAGGAACAGCCCTGTTCATCTGGCCAAGCATCCCTAATGTCCCGAGGGGTGTAAATTATTATTAAGTATTTCATATTATTTATTTATTATATATTTGTTTGCATGTTTCTGAAATATGTCAATTCATTCTGAATGACAGAACAGAGAAGAACAAAGAAAACATCACCACAACCTTCAGAGTGCACAAAATTGGGTCACGTATACCTTTAGTCTTTAGAATCATTGTAAATAAGCAGTTTCTAGACAAATATCCCTTTTGAATAGAAAACAACAAAGGTGCTGCAAAAAACCCTCATGAACTACAATAAGTGTAATTAGCACAATAATGCTGCTTTCGTTCTTGCAACATACTACAGTAGATAATGAACACCTGAAACCTGTTCTTTTTTCCTTTTGATTTATAGGGATAACAGAGTCAATAGGAAATCTGCTAAAAAAGGCAAAGTGGTGGGTACTATTGGTTCCTCACTTTTAGCCCACACATCACAAGGCATTAAATAAAATTTTAATTACATGTAATTAGATCATTAGAAACCAGGTATAAATAGAGTGCCAATTACACATGAGGGATCTGTATTTGTGAATAAATTAGGTTTTTACAGTAACATCATGCAGAATAAAGTGGCAGTGATTGAAATAAAAGAGTCAAACACCTACAGTATCTGCATGCTTACTTTTAATGCCTCACACTGAATGGCAGCTAAACATTGATTCACATGCATTTGAGACGACACGTATTGAGAAGATGTACTCATTTTCCTTCACAAAAAGAGCAGAAAATCGGAAGGGCAGAAGAAATTGGCAGTTGACTGCAGAGGCAGTGGCAGAGGACTGAGACAATACTAGCAATCTAAGGCTGAGATAAGCTGTACTTCATATTTTTAAAAGGACGAGCATATCGTTCTCTTGAGCAATCACATATAGAGTACTCATTTTTGTAAAAACATTAAAAAATATTTTTAGCACAGTTAAAAAAACATGGTTTTCTAAATTGTTGTACAATAAACTCTACAAGGGCACCAATCCAGTGTAGGAACTCATGGTCTGTGGAAGGAAAGCTACATCATACTGTATGTCTGTGGAACAAGATCAAGCTGCAATGCAAGTTGAGCTCTTCCACTGTCAGCTGATGGTGCATTCTTTAGTGTGAGACTTTTAAACATTTCCTAAAATGTCACCATTGTCTCTATTATCTTTACAGAGGTGATGTCAACAGTATTACCACTTATTAAACTGCTTTGTTCTGATTTCCGAACTAAGCAATGCTGGGTCTGTGCAGACCTGAAATGGGAGACCTCCGGAGAAAACCAGAATGCTACTTTAAGTGATATTGGTGAACCAGTAGGTACACCACAGTTTCCAAGTCCATGGGCCATTATGGTGATCGGAGACAATGATAAACAATAGTATAATCTAAACAATTTATATAATAAGCCCTTTTGCAAAATGTTTAATTGGTACTTTGATCTGAACCCATTTTTCTTACTTCATATGCACTTCAGCTCAGGCTGGTGGCACAGAATGATTGCTATGCATCACCCAGGTCTGTGTTGCACCTCAGTTTAGGACGAAGTGGGTCCAGTCCTACACGTAATATCCTTTAGGATTCCGAGATGAAAAATACTATATAAATGCAAGGAATTAGGTATAGTACACCTGTTTTTATTGAAATGCCACAATGCTTCTATGACTATGCTCTGTTACTTACATGGTTAGTGGTCACTTGCATATGAATAAAAGTATTTCCCTGAACCTTTAAAACCATAATTTTTCAATTTATTTCATTTGGGTTTTGCAAATTTATGCAGTAGTAACAATGCAAGCATCAAATCATTGCTTTCAGTTTAGAACTAAGGAAAAATACAACTGACCTCCTGTTTCTGACTTTTAATGAAGCACAAACTAATGCTATTTGACAACATAGGTTTAGGTGTTTTTTTAGTATGTTATGTATTCTGGACTTGATATAGCCTTTAACCTACATCGTAGGACAAGTTTTCACATTTCATTAATGTACTTCTACTGAAAAGAGACATGCTGAATAATAATGCATATT